AGCTGCTGGGGGAGATATAAAGGAAATATATATATATTTATATATATATATATATAAATATATATATATAAAGGAAACCTTGGAATTTGGTCCTGTCCACCCAAAATAGCAAGCATCCTAATAGCATCCCAATTGGAAAACAACACATTTGCTTATCTTTCTTCTTCCTTTAACTGAGTCACCACATTCCTCTCTTTTGCTAGCAGAGGTAATCTAGAATGTGTCCTCTTTTTGTTTAGTAGGAAGCTTTCTTTCTACAGGTTCTCTACTGTTATGTCTTTCTAGGCCTTTGTGTTCTTGATAGTCATTGCTGAGTTCTATGAGGCAAAGCCTTACATGAATTATTTTATCAATTATGTTTTAAATCAATTGTTATCTCACTAGAATTCTGAAAGATATGGATTTAACTTGTTCTGGGTGTCCATGGTAACTTCCTGGTATTCACCAAAGGTCCCTACCATAAGAACATTGATACTCACCTTTTATTTTAAAGTCTTTTTAAGAAACTTGTCCAATACTTGAATTTCTTAGCTGCCTCCAGCAGTCCAATGCAGTGTGGTTTCCAGAGCTGTCATTGGGTTTTCCGGTAATAAATACTGTGCAAAAATTAACTAGCATACATTTCCTGTCTCCTTTTTAACTTCATTGTTGAGTGGCTTAACTTCCACTGCTATCAGTCACACAGGGTCTATGGTGTCCCAAACTTAGCGGTAAGCCAGGGATTCTACCTGGGGTCTCGGCTTACCTGGTCCTGCAGTTGCTGGCTATTGGATATAGCTGGAGCAACTTCTGTTGAACAGACATTTGTAGAAGTCTTACTTTGTGGATGAAAAATCAGGATCAATACCAGAAAATGACTAAAATGATTACAATCTGGCCCCTGCCTTAAGCAGTTTAGATACCCAGGGGAACGGGTTCTCTAATTTTATTACCTATGGGATGTCAATCACTCATTTAAAAAATTTTCCTTTGGTCTTAAACTTCCCCTCTCCTGGGTCCAAATTACAAATCACTCCTGAAGAACTTTCCTTTTCCCTGTTCTGTCAATTTCTGTTGCTCAAATGTGCAAGCATCCTGACTGACAAAAAGCCTCCTGTGGGACAGGCACAGAATGGAAGGCCAGCTGCAGACCACCTCTTACTCTTACGGTCAGGGAGGCTCACCCTTCTCAGTGCGGTGTACTCTCCTCAATTCCAAAGCTCTGGATGCAACATGCTCTCATCTACTCTCAAGCACGTAAGTGAATATTTTGTTCCTTTCAGAGGAACGGGGTGGCCTCTGTCGGTCTTCAGTTGACATAGGCATCTCTTCTTGTCCATTTGGATGGGCCAACTGCAGGAAGGTCTGGAGAAGATTCCTAAACACAGCAGAAAGCTGTCATGGAAAAAAAAAATTAAACCAAACCAAACTATTGGTGTACTTTGTAACAACCATTACAAGGAAACAAGCCAAGGTGAGTATACCCAAGAGGCAGAACCTACTTTGTGGGCCCAAGTAAGCCAGGCTCAGATCAGTTTAGTAATCCAGCCATCCATGTGTGGTGTGTTCTGCTTTTAACTTGACCTTGTTTTCAGGGAAGTCACACATCTGTCTTCTGCAGCCCCAGAGGCCTTTCTGAAGATATCTACATAAAATGTTCCTTTATGCCAGTGTCATTTGCATTTGTACAGAGAGACAGCTGTGAAAGTCAACCACTCAAAAAAAAAAAAAAAAAAGAAAGAAAGAAATAATAAAAAGGTGTGAGGGCCTCACTGGCTCCCTGTGAGAAACCTCTGAGTCTCCAAAGGAAGCTGGAAAAGTGAGGAGGGCTCTCAGCATGGAGGGCTCTCAGTGTGGAGGGCTCTCTGAGGTTAGGCAGAGGCCAGCCCTTCACTGAAAGACCTTATCTCAAATCAACAAAAGGTGAGAGGCACTGTTGAGACAGGGATGGGTATGTGAGCCAAACAGGACAACTGCGAGATGGAAGAGGAAATGCAGGTTGAGGGCTTTGAGTGAGACCTCTATTAGGGTACATGTTATTCCCTCATAAACATAGCCTATGTTTTCTTCAAAACATAGGATAGCAGTGGTATCATAAAAAAATCATATTTTTAAAATGCAAAATAAGGCAGAATCTCTTTTAATTTTTAGTGTTTGTTACAGTTAGTGTGTATGTGTGTGTATGTGTGTATGTGTGCGTGTACATATCGTCAACATGTGGGATTGAGGACAGCCTATGGAAGTCCATTCTCTTCTACCATGTTGGTCCTGGGATGATACTCAGGTATGAGGCTTATCTGCAAGGGCCTCTACCCACTGAGCCATCTTGCCAGGCCTTTTTTCTTATTTTTCAAACAACAAGGAGAAAGGTGAAATAAGCGGTTTCCCTTCAAGCCACTTTCTCAGTAATTTAATTTGGTAAGTTATTGAAAATATAGAGCTACTTTTAGCATCACTTCTGGCCCGTTTTATGAAAACCGTACACTCAGAAGCACTCTCCTCCCCAACTCTCTTCATTCATATAGTGTTTATGTGAGTGCCCACATTCACATATACATAGAATTATAGGGACTAGTGATAAGGATGTCCTTTTCCATGATGGGTACATGATGTAATTTGCAGTGTCATTTATTCAAAATATAAGAAAGCTTTAGGAAGACACCATCTATATACTCATCAGGCTCTATCAATTGTTACCAAATGCTAAAACACATTGGATTTTACAGCGTTTCTAGTAATCTTATTCAATAAGAATTCACTGAGCACAAGGAAATACAGTGGAGATTATACAACAAATTTCCTTTCTTTTTTGAGTAGGTCATAACTAACCAGTTATAAATAATACAAAGACGTTCCACAGTCAAGTGCGAGCCTTCCCCTGGTCCCTTCTCCCTCGAAGACTGCCTGTCCTTGCTGTCATAACTGCTACCTGAGCTTGTGAATAGAAGGCTTTTGGGCACCACATGCCATTGCTACCAATGACTGTCCAGTCAACCCCGCCTGAAATGAGATAATCCCCACTTTGATCGGCCTCCTCACCCACAGCATTCTGACCCCCGAAGCACAGCCCTCTGAACCGTGGCATGCATGTTTCACACTTATAACTTTCATTTTCCCTATAAACTTAAACTGCAGTTGTCTCGGCCCGTTGCTCGCTCTGTCTGGCCCTCGTTTTCATCAGCTGCCTTATCCCTTCCTATACAGAGCAAGACAGAAGCCACCAGATTATTTCTCACATGGGACTTCAAACCCTGATAGCTCACCTCTCTTTCCCTGCCCCTCAGAACTGCATCCTCTCCCTATTTCATCAAAAAGTCCCATAGCAAGGTCTCCTCGTCACCTCCATTAGCATTTTCATGGTGTTGGACTGTCTCAAACGCTTTAAAAATGTCTCCTGAATCTGTAAAAGCTTTCGAGTTCTGCCCTTCAGGGTTCTTATCTTCATTCACAAGTAAGTGATGGGATTGTTTGTTCAAACCCAACCTCTATGTTCTTATCTGCTCCCCGCCCACCCACAGACGTCTGGCCTTCACCTTTTTAAAACCTCCTCCGTCCTTTGAGAGACATCTCTGCCCTCCTGAACGCTCAGTAGCACT